CCCCCCAAAGCGCGCCATCGGCATGCTGCGAGACGCCCTCCTTCCAAGATGGGCGCAAGATCCCCCAGAGGCTGCCTCGAGACGCCCCAGAGGTACCTGAGAGGCTTCCAAGATGCCCCAAGAGGCGTCCACAGGGCCTCTGGCCCACAACCCAGGCACAATGGCGGATTGGACCGGAAGCGCATAGGCAAACCCTCCCCTCCCTAATTACCTCTCATGCCGCCGCGCTGCCAGGACTGCCGGAATGACTGCGGGACTGCGCGGCTGCTGCAGTGCGGGGCGGCGCGACTGCGCGACTCCGAAACTGCAATTCTGTGGGACTGCCAAGCTGCCTGTACTCCTGGACTGGCGGGCTGCTGCGGCACGGTACTGCGGGACTGCGCGGCTGCGGCAGCGTGGGGGCGGGGAGGAGGAGGAGGAGGAGGAGGAGGACGACGACGAGGAGGAGGAGGAGGACGACGAGGAGGAGGAGGAGAAGGGCGGAGGAGGAGGAGGAGGAGGAGGAGGAGGAGGAGAGGAGGAGGAGGAGGAGGAGGAGGAGGAGGAGGAGGACGAGGAGGAGGAGGAGGAGGAGGAGGAGGAGGAGGAGGAGGGAGGGAGGAAGAGGAGGGGAGGGAGGAGGAGGAGGAGGAGGAGGAGGAGGAGGAGGAGGAGGAGGGGCGCGGCGGCGGAACAGGTGGGGGACAGTCGGGGCTGCAGGACGTGTCCCCGACTGCGGGGCTGCCCGGGCCGCTGCGGGATGGTGGGGCTGTGGGGCGGGTGCGGGGCTGCGGTGCTCTCGGGGTGTCCTGACGTGCTCCGGGGCGAGTCTCGGGGGGCGTCCCCGGGGGGGGTGCTGGGCGATGCGGCGGCGATGCGGCGCGATCCTCCGACCGACCTGCTCGGGCCCCGCTGGGGAGGCCTCCGCGCTGGGCCCCCCTGGGCCTCTGGAGGCGCTCCCCGTGGCCTCCGCGGTGACCTCCCGAGGGGCAGCAGGCGGGTGGGGTGGCTGGATCAGGGGTGGCCGTGTCGGGTATGTGCTTGGGGTGTTCTAGGGTGGGTCCTCGAGGTGTGTTGGGGGAGTTCTAGAAAGACGTTCGGCTTCTTCCCAGAGATTCTCGGCAACTGCATTGACGGAGCGGGGCTGGCTTTAAAATCGCGCTCTCGCCATGGCGGCTTGTTTTTTTTGTTCTGCATTTGTTTGTGAATGTGCCCCCCACCCCCCCTGCAACCGACTGCAATAATCAAAGGTCGATCCGTCTCAAACGCACAATGACCTGTGAATACGACTTTGCCAACTATACATGTGATCAGTGTTCCGCATTGTAGAAACAGCCTGAGCAGGTGCGCGTAGCGAGGGTGTGGCCCTCTCCTGATTGAATGACTGTGCGCACTGCGATGACTGAAAATCAAGCCGCGTGGGCAGGGGGCTGCCGAACAGGCGCGCACACTCGCACTGAGCTCCATGCACGGCACGTATCGTGTGAGGGGCGTGCCGAGATAGGCAGGGTGCGGCATGCGAATTCCTCCATTCGGGCCATGTATGGAGCTCCTCGTAGGGCACGATCTGTGCGAGAGGTGTGCCGAAATTGGCGAGGTACAGCAGGCGAACCACTCCAATGGGGCAACCGGTAGAGCTCCCTGCGGGTGCACGAAGCGTCCACTCCCACTGGGGCCGTAATTTGAGGTCCCTGAGGGGCTGGATGAGGGATGAGGGAGCGGGGGAGGAGGGAGGAGGTGGGAGAAGGAGGTGGACCCGGATTCAGACCGAGGAACTAACCACAGAGGAGGGCTGGAACAAAACAGGAAGAGAGGGGGACGGGACGGAGAGGAGGAGACGAGAGGCGCTGCGGGCGCAAAACGAGGACTCAACGATACACGATGGTCGAGAAAAACAGCGTTCGAGCATTCCAAACCTCTCAGAACCACTTCGCTCGTCTTGTGAGGTCTGCTGGCAGAGCCGGAAGGTGCAGAGGGCATCCTGGATGTTGCCTGAGTGCTTTCGTGCGTGCCTTTTTTGGGGGGCGCCTTCTGTTGAGGTGGTGGTGTCTTCCTCTTCCTCCTCCACCGGTCATTCCCCTCCCCCACCACGCGTGGTCGTGGACTTGTTTTGCGGTGTCTGGTCCCCCCCCCGTGCAGGGCAGCCTGCTCCGCAGGGCTGGCTGTGCGCACCACCGCGCAGCCCCCCCAAGAGAGCACGACCAAGGGGCTCTGCGACGGGCATCGGCGACCGCGCCTGCCGCCTGTTTTGCTTGTCAGAAGAGCAGTGCGACCACATCTTGTGGCTAACGAGACACCTCCCCCGTTTCCGGAGTAGGAACCCCAAAACCACGGAGAAGAAACATGGGCGGTGCCGCAAGGCAGAGGCCCGCTTCGCCCCGCGGCACCTGGCGAACGCACGGCCCGCAGCTACGGTCAAACTGCTGCTCAGCATTTTGTGTCGACGGCCTAAGCGACACGCTATGCCCTGCAAGCGGATAACGTGTCGCTCTGGTCCGCAGGGCGGAAGACTTGGAGAAACCTGGGACGCTGACGCTTGGGGACTGGAACGTGGACAGCGTGTCGCGCCGAAGCGTGGTGGGCCAGAACTGACGGCACGACACGCTAAACACAGGTTCCTGACCGTAGACTCACCGAGCCCTGTGGGCCCCGAGCGGCCGCAGGCCCGAGTGGCGATGAAGTTCGACCCCCGATCTTTCGGAAGGTGCAAGGGGGGGAGCGTGGGAGCGAGGTGGAGATGAACAGGGAGAGGCGGGGGAAGGGAGCAGCTATGAACCTTACGTAGCACCCCACAGTTGCGGGTAAGAGTGAGGGGGCGGCGGGGACGTCGGCCTTCTGCGAGGCTCTGAAGAAGCCCGCCGCTGGCGCCAAATCTTTACGAATTGTGCACGAGCCAGCCGCTCGTAGAAGCACTGTGGGTGGGTCGCGGGCCTGGTCGCGGGTGGGTCGCGGGTGGGTCGCGGGCGGGTCGCGGGATGGCTCGCGGGTGGGTCGCGGGTGGGTCGCGGGGGGGTCGCGGGGTGGGTCACGGGTGGGTCGGGGGCGGGTCGCAGGTGGGTCGCGGACCGGGTCGCGGGTGGGACGACGACAGCAAAGAATGAACAACAACCAATCCATAACGCAACAACGACAATCCGCACCGCGGAACCTCACTTCAGCCACGCGCCCAGGGACAGTCAGTGGCCGTTCGGCCCCCTCACTCTGATGTGGACGCGGGTCAGAGTCAAGAGCTAACTCTCTTGCGCTATATCGCGCGGCGGCGGGTGGGGACCGAACGAGGGCCCGAAGAGCGAGCGAAGCGAGGGCCAGGGAAGGACACCAGGGCGGAGGGAGAACGACCAAGGTAAGAACCGAGGACCCCAACCACGCAGGGACAAGAGGCCAAGCAAGGCAACGACTGGCATCAGTTGCTGCAGAAGTCATGCAGTGCGTTCCCAGTTATTTAAATACTTATTTCAATTATTCTATGACGGGGAGGTAGAGAATCACTCCTGTGCAGGAGCAAGCAGCACAAGCAAGGCACGCAGAAGTGTCGACGCGTAAAGTGACGCGCTGGCGTCCTGGACCCGCCTGAATGCGACTTCTCGGGCGGCCCTGGATACGGGCACATCTTCGGCACACAATCACAATGGGGATAAACGGTTTCGCATCTGGCTCGAATATTCTGACGAGCATTTCGAACCGAGGTTATATGGCAGGCGGAACGTGCATGTACTGATCATGGATGGAATATGTGAAGACCTTACCATCATCATCATCATCATCATCATCATCATCATCATCATCATCATCATCATCATCATCATCATCATCATCATCATCATCATCATCAGCATCATCATCATCATCATCATCATCATCATCAAGAGCTCCTTTTCCAGAGCCTCCCATCCACATATCTACGCAGAGAAAGGCGGGGGAGGATTCCATGTGTGAGGAGTGGGAGGGGGGTCGAGGGATGACAACGGGGAGCCGAAGTAAGGGGAAGGCGGAGGAGGAATGGGAGGGATGCAGGAGTCGGGGCGAGGCGGCGAGCGACAAGCAGGGCGCGGTGCGTTGGGCCACCCTGGGCAGGCTGGGCGGGGAAGCCTGCCAGCCCCGGCCGACGAAAGGTATCAACCTTTGCTGTTTCTCTCGCTCGCTCTCTCCCTCTCTCCCCCTCTCCCGCTCTCCCTCTCCCCCTCTCTCCCTCTCTCCCTCTCTCCCTCTCTCCCTCTCTCTCTCTCCCTCCCTCTCTCTTCCTCCCTCTCTCTCCTCTCTCCCTCTCTCTCTCTGTCTCCTCTCTCTCTCTCTCCTCTCTCTCCTCTCTCTCTCTCCCTCTCCCTCTCCCCTCTCTCTCCCCTCCCTCCCTCCCCCTCCCTCCCTCTCTCCCTCTCTCCCTCTCTCCCTCTCCCCCTCGCTCTCCCTCCCTCCCGCGGCACGGTGATCTCAGGCGCTCGTCGTGCCGGCACGTCCCTCCCCGCATATGCGGCGGCGGGCCCCGGCGGGAGGGTGCGAGCAGGGGGGCGGGCCCTCTCCTGGCCATCGCTCGGACGTCCGTTCCCTGTGTTTTTTTCGGTTTCGTGCGTGGTTTTTTCGCCAAATGATCGAGGATGCTTCTCGATGGTCCTCGCCGAAGGAAAAATGCACACGTCCGAGCGATGCCAAGTCTCCCTCGGGGAAGGCGCGCAAGGCCGTTGGGGGGCCCCCGAGGCGGACTCCGAGCCGGCTCTCCGGACAGGCAGGGCACCTGTCAGAGGGCGCCCCGGGGGGGCTTCCCGGAGAAGGGGGCGGGCCCTCTCTCTCTCTCGGGGAAGGCGCGGAGGGCCGTCAGGGGGCCCCCGAGGCGGGCTCCGAGCCGGCTCTCCGGACAGGCAGGGCACCTGTCAGAGGGCGCCCCAGGGGGGGCTTCCCGGAGAAGCCCCGCCGCCTTCTCTGAGGAGGCCCGGCCCCCTCTCACTCCTCCCCCCTTGGCTCGCGGCCGCTGGATGCAGGGCTCGAGTAGCGGTGGTGGCTCGCTTGCGTTCGGCGTGCCCGGAGTCCTGTTCCATCAGCTTCAGCTCCTTGTCCTCGTCCCCCGACCTCTCGGACTGAACCTCGTCGTCGTCGGCGGCGTCCTGTGGCCGAATGGACCCTGGTCCGAGACCAGATGATCGCAAGGCCAATGCGCCCGTCGGGCCAAGGAATGGGGGCCCACAGTGGCCCACATCTTTGTGCCCAAGGAAGGGGTATACGTTGCAGCTGGTTGCCCTCTTCAGAGGACCTCGGCGCGGTGCCACCTCAGGCAAGTGATGCAAGCTCCCCCCGAGGCTGTCCTGAGCGGTCCAGATTCCCGTCTGCTTTCCTACCCCTCCTCCCCTTTCTTCCTTCCCCTCCGTTCTCTTCCTCCTCCTCCTCCTCCTCCTCCGCGCCGCTATTTCGATGCAGGACCTTTCTACGCGGCGGAGTGCCAGGACGTTGCGTAAATACCAGGAGAAGTCCGAGAGAAGCGTATGTCAGCCAGCGTGGGCCCAAACCAATGGTTTCTTGCCACGTATGCGGCGCAGTCTAGGTAATACAATCAGTGGTGCAATCTAGGCCGTGCAAATGCCAAGCAATGAAACGTGATGCAACGCAATGCAACGCAAAGCCAGCCACAGCAATGCAAATCACTGCAAGTCAATGTCAAGCAGTGTAATGCGTCGCAAATCACGCAATGCAGCACCATGTATTGCAATGCAGAGCAACGCAAACCAATAACAAGGGACAGCACTGCGGAGCACGGAAAAGCAATGCGGTACCAAGCAGTGCAAAACAATGCGTTGCAGTGCAAAACCACGCAAAGCAATGCGAACCAATGCAAAGCAACGCAAAGCAATTCGAAGCAATGCAAAGCATTGAACATCAACGCAGAGTACACACATTGCACAGCAATGCAAATCACTGTAATTCAATGCAAAGTAGCGCAAAGCAACGCAAAGCAACGCAACGCAATACAACGCAATGCAGACAAATACAAACAACGCACGGAAGTGCGACGTCGATGCGGCCGCCGGCGATGACGCGGCGACGGCGCGGAGACGGCGGCCACACGGCGGCAGGACCACAACCCAGGCTCAGACGACGGGCGGCGACGAGGCGGTGGCGGGGCAGCGACGGAAAACACAAGGCGGCACCACGGGCGGCGACGAGGCGGCAACGGCGACCACTTAGCCGCCAGACCGACGCGCAGGCCCACCCAGACGACGGGCGGCGACGAGGCGGCGACGGGGCGGCGACGGCAACCACATAGCCGCCAGACCGACACGCATGCCCAGTTCCTTAGAAAACATGTATGGACCCCTAAATGCAATCACTGTTTGGGGAACATTGGCGAACAACACAACATGCAACATAGTGAAGGACTGTCAAGAGAGAAGGTAACAGCATAGCTCGACATCATCCGTATGATAACTGAAATGTCGGACGTCTCGGTACATATAAAGTCCTGCGCCGCATGACAACCGTCCACAACGCGATCATCGCACATTTTTTATGCGACTGTCCGCAAGGCGGTGCACGACCTTCCACAACACACTGCTACTGCACCTACGAGGCGGTGCGCGCAACAATGGAACCTGAATAGTCATTATAACAATGGGCTCCGCGTCCACCAGTGGCTCAGCACACGGGAGCGCAGGCAGATGATCAGCGCACGCCCTCGGCGCGCCCAGCTAGATATGCAGGACCCCGACGCGCAGGACTACAGGAGCTTCGACTTCGACCTGCGGCTTCAGGCCCACCAGCGGGTCTAAGAAAGGCCCGACGTCGTGGAATTCCTCCACCTCCCGAGCCACCCCCGTCAAGCGCCCTGGGGAGCAGAGGCAACAGCCAGAGACCGAGCGGTGGGTCCTCGGCAGCGAGCCAACCAGTGCGCCAGCTGCGGGGCAGAGAGAGCCGCCTCCACCAGTCAAGACGTGCTTGGCCAATAGCCTGAGGACTACAGTCGGGGGCTTGACCCGAGGAACCCAAAAGAAGGAACGAGGCCCCTTTTCTTCCATAAGTTAAACTTCGATTTCCGATCGGAAACATAAGGAAAACCTAAGGCAAGCTGCGAAACACTGAAGGAACGCGAAGCTCCTCCCCAACGAAAAGGGTTCCTTCTTCAGGGCCCCGACTGTAACTCACGGTGACGGTACAGAACAAGTTGCTGCTGGCACGGAGACAATCACGCTGGATCCCACCAAAGCCAAGGAGACGACACAGCCCGAAGAGAGGACGCGACAACTCACCTAGCACCAAACCGGCCAAGAGCTGGGCTACGACCTGAAGAAGCGACATCCTGATGATGCCTCGCCCGTCACCAAGGGCCGACAGAATGGCAACGGCTCGCGGCGTGGGTCCAATAAGCAGGGCAATGCCCAGGGCCTGTCCGAGTGGCAGATAACCAGCACGGCACCGCCAGGATGGAGTAAACCACCAGGGTCGGCAGCCGCTAAGTGCATGAGTCCTACGTCACACGACACCTCAATGGGTTATTGTGGTGCGAGGCGTGTGGTGTGGCACCAATAACCGTAAGAGGCCACGGGCCAGTGGTGGCTGGGGCGGCGAGACTGCTGATCCAGGAGTGCAAGCCACGCACGGCGGGCAGGACGGTGGATGATATCCCAAATGCCATCAAGTCTGCCGCCCGAGAAAGAGCACGACTTCGCAGAGCACTGAGAACTGAGTACGAGCATGTGGAGGACAATCACAAGGTGATGGCACTGGAGAAACAATATGAAATGCCAGCGGCGCCCCACCGTGCATGCGATGGAGCGCGAGCGCCTTAGCCGAGCCACGGAGGCAAACTCATTGTCCTTGTCGCCGTCGTCGTCCTCCTCCTCCTCCTCCTCCTCCTGCTCCTCCTTCCCCTCCTTCTCTTCCTCCCCCTCCTTCATCTCAATCATCCTACACCTCCGGCTTCCTTCGCGTCTTCTTCTTCTTCTTCCTCCTCCTCCTCCTCCTCTTCCTCCGCCTTGGTCCCTGGGATTCCGACCATCCAACGAGCGAATGGGACAGAATGGCCCGCTGGAAAGAACAACCTGGAATAATCTCCCAAATAATAGTGGAACTGGGGAAAACAAGCGGTACCGATACCGCTACTCCCCGGACCTCTTTCGGGGTGCGTTCCCAGCAGAAATTTCGAGGCGAATCCAGTGGTGGCGGCGAGGGCCTCCCAGCAGGCCCAAAAAGGCGAAAACGACGCAAGGGTCACGGTATCGGTACCTCTCCCTCCTCTGAGGAACGGGGCAACCGTGCCACCGATCAGAGAGCTCTCAACCGACAGGGCGCCTCGTCGAACAAACGACTAGCTCTGGGACCTCAGGTTCGCCACTTCTCGGTGGATCGAGGGTCTCAGGGCCTGAGAGGTCCTCCGTCTTCCCCCTCCCCCACCCTCCTACGGCGGGTTCCTGTAGCGACGACGTCGACATTGACTTCTGTCACTCCGTGGCTCGTTCGACCTTGAACGATCGCGGCTCTCCAACATCGCCGATCTGCCGATATCGGCCTCCCTCGACTCTGGGAAGCCATAGCTCTTGGCTCCGAGCTCAAGACTTGTCCTTTGCAGAAGTCGCACGTACACCACCACCACCATGCCTGGGGAGGGCAATCTCGAGCTCTGGCACAGTGTTTACGCACTCCTGGCCGAGGCCAGGAGGATCTGTACACCATCCCGGGGCTCAGGAAGGCCATGGCCAGTCATAGTGGCGGTGGTGCACGATTGCCCTCTGGGGGCATCGCGGCATCGATGAGGCGTGGGAGCGTGCGCCCAAATTGTGACTCATGAGGCGACGGGGTCTGCCTCAAGACATCCCGCGGGTCCGCCGCGATGGCGGCCTCCGCCACTCCGGCCGGCGGGGCCTCCGCGTACGCGTCGAGCAAGCACACGGCGAACACGTTGAGGAGCACGACGGCGGTTATACATATGAAGCTGATAAAGAAAAAATAAGAGCCAATGCAAGCAAACGGGCCGCCGGCGGTACAGTGATAGTGGACGATCGGCCGCACGGCAGCCTCTGACCACGACTCACCAGTCAGGATCTGGAACATCGTGTAGATCGCCAACAAGAAATTGCCGTAGTACTCGTTCCCGAAACATTTCTCCCGCCTTGTGATCCTCAGGTCCTCTGGGAGCCGCTCAATCTTTTCGGAACGCACACACACCTAATGGTGGGGCAGAGGGTGGGGTCGGGTGGGGTTTGGGGGGGGACGATTCAGCGGTCCAATCCTCAGGGAAATCATCAGGTGACGGGCAGTACAGATCGCCGTAGAGGTCCACGGCGAGCGAGGAGTATATGCAGGTGACGACCAGCACGAGCATCATGCCATTGCACATACCACCAGCTGCGTGGAACAATGAGTTTATAATCTTTTTGAGTGCGGGAACACGTCCGAAGAGGCGAAAAATGCGGAACGCTCGCAACATCCGGATCATCTTGAGTGGCCCTGGCAAATCGATTTCCATCAAGTCGATGACACCGAGACTCACGACGATGAAATCGAACACGTTCCAACCATCTGCGAACCACTGACACGAACATCTGTTCAGTGGCCACTTCCCGTACAGGTTGAACAAGAGTTCGACGAGGAAGACCCAGTTGAAGAGGTAGACCGACATGGCGAAGATCTGATGGGGCCCCCCGATACTCAACCAATTCTAGATACTAGTTTGGATAATTGTGGGTTGCCGACGTACCGAAATTCTTTGCGAATTGAGGTGGTTCATCTATCGGTTGTCGCCGGCCGACCGTGCACGTGACACCCACACCAGGCGGCGACGCCCGAAAACATGAAACGTCGCTTGCAAACGCGACGTGATGAAACTCAACCCAACGCCTGTCGAACTGCGGTCCCACCTAGGGATGAACAGGCTTTGGCACCGCGCCCAACCTCACGTTGAATTACGAGATTACTGGGCAAACGCAGGCTAAGACAGGGCCACTATGTTTCAACGCTCCGCGAGGTTCTAGCCACCAAAAAGCCAAATATCAAAGCTGTATCGTTGGAACCTGGGGTGTATCAATGATGTCGTATTCTCCGCCACCCGAGCCACACAATTGACGCCCGGAGACCCCCGCACGTTTCGCAACACGCTTCAGATTTGCACCAGGGATCACGCACCATGTTTCCTGGCAAACAAAAAAGAACTCAGGCTGTACAATTGAAGGTTGGTAGGACTTTTGGACCTGCCGCCCCTCAGGCTACCCCCAAGAGGCTCAAGACAAGAGGAGCGGACGGGGAGTGGAGGGACGGGGAGGGAGGGGGGCAGGAGAAGGGGGGGAAGGACGAAGAAGGGAGAATTAGGCTAGGATGGAGCGTCTTCCCAGAGTCTCTTCTGGTCCTTCAAGCCTGAATTCTGATTCCAAACTTGTGGGGAACATCTAAACGGGATGTGTTGAATCGTCTGGGCCGCTTGTCAATCACCCGTCTGTCCGATGACGCTCTTTCGACGTCCGCTTTATCGAAGTACTGGTAATTGGGGCCAGCGACATGTTTGCCAGGATGCTCGTTGAACATGTACGACATGGCTGGCACTAACTCTCTCTGACAGCACTGCATGAAGAAGTTCAACAGGATGATGAAGGCCACAAGGCCCTGCGTCCCCGTGCTTTCGTAGCACTCTCTGACCGTCGGTTGGAAGCGCCAGAACCTCGGGGGGCAGGGCGCGGTGAGAGGAAGGATGCTATTCAAAGGGGCGCATTCTCCAATCCATCTACACTGGGCCCGTACAGAACAAGTTATGGATGCCAAACTGGGCATCGTTTAAACGACCCCAATGCCCATGGCCCATGGGCGTGGCCTGGGCCCAAACTGGCCGACTTACCTCCCTTGATGGGGATGTGGGCTACTTCCTTCATGTTCCGAGGGGTACATCCCCATCTGGGGTGCTGAGATGGTGGGGGGCTGGATGGGGATGGGGATGGGGATAAGGGACGGTTAAACGATACAAGAAACGATGCCCTGCACAGGAGTTACACGGGAGACCGCTCTGCCGCTCTGCAGAGCGCCCCATGGGGCCGATGCGAGACGACGTCATCAAATGGGAGTGGATGGATAAGAAAAGGACCATGACAAGGTGGAGGAGGACACATGACAAGATAGAAGAGACAAGTCGGATGGGCACCTACAGAGATGAGGATAAACCGGTGGGACGGCTTGAACCATCCCCGTGATGACCGCACTCCATTGGACACGCCACGAGCTTACGAACATTGCGACAATTGCGGAATCGGCACCATCCTGAAGGAAAAACGCGGTCTAGTTTGGGTTCCGGTGGGACTGCATTCCGCTGGACCCACCCCCCCAGCACACTCAAGTCGCATGATCAGGATGCGCGGTAAGGATGCAAGGGCCTTGGAGGCCCATGTTGGCGCTTTCGAGCGGGGCAGGCCAGCGAAAGTGTCTTTGCCAAAGGATGGGCCGACGGGGCAGGGATGCAAGGGCAGCCTTGGAAGATTGCTCGCCCTTGCTGTGCGACTTCACCGTGAGCTCACAGAGGTAGCGACAGTTGCGAAGTTGGCACCGCCCAGAAAGGGCGAGGTCGCAGCATCCAGGGAGGCGAGGCATGAGGCAGGAGGGCGGCGAAGAGGAGGGGGCAGGAGAGGGCGGGAGGAAGGAGGAGCAGCAAGGAGGAGGGAGAAGGGAGGGAGGATGTTGACGAATGGGGGCCACCCGTCGCAACAGAGAATAACGAAGAGGAGGGAGGAGGAGGATACGGATGAGGATGAGGAGCAGAGGAAGACGATGACGAGGGAGAAGATGCAACGACGAATTGGAACCACATTCTCCATAATATCTGGAGGGCTTCCTTTGAAATTTGCCCAAGGGAGTGGTCCACAGGAGTCCCACGGCAACAATGTCTCCACTCAAAACGAGCACGAGCCCAACACAGTCTGGTTGGGAATAAGCTCGACGCTCCCTTGCCCTCAGCAGTGGGGACCCAGCCACCTAAGATCTGACTCCTTTAGGGTGCCTTCGGGCAAGCCTTCCTTCTCTCCCTCCTCCGCCTCCGCCCCCGCTTCCTCCTCCTCCTCCTCCTCCGCCTCAAACTCCACCTCCTCCTCCTCCCGCCCCCGCCCTTCATTCAGCGCTCTCTGCTTGTCGCGCGTCCCCTTCTGGGAGAACCCGCGCGGCCCATCTTTGGAGCCCTCCTTGTCCTTGCCGTTCAAGGGCTCGAGCTCGAGCTCGGACGCCAGGGGCCAGAGAGGAGTTGCCCTACACCCCCGCTCCTATCTCCCCCTTCCTCTCCCCCACTCCGAGCCCCTGATCACCTGCCTCATTCACCCCGCCTCCACCTCCTCCTCCCCCCCCCCCCCGCATCACCTTGCCTTCCCTCTCCACTCCTCCGCTCCTCCCCTCCCGTTTCCGTGCTCCGCTCCTGGAGCGAGCACCGCATTTGGCTCACGCCAAGCGCGAGCGACCGTTGGTTGGAGCGTCTGGCAGATTGCACGCCACGAACATACACACACAAACACCCGCCGACGAGGTCTTCCTGTGCCTCCAAGGGCGGGTGGCCGTGTATAAAATCGCTGGCTCATTGTGGTGGTTTATACACCGCCAGCCTCCCCTATCAGGCCCAGAAGCTATCCCCTGGAGGGTGCCCGTAGATGTCTGTGGCGGGGATTACCCGCCGAACCACAGGGCGCCCCCCCAAGCGACGCCGGGAGGCGGGCTGCGTAGTAGCCCACGTCGCTTCGGTTCGTGCGGCCGGTCCCTGTCGTGTCGGCTTCGGCGTGGGTCTCTGACACCCCGCAGATTTTGGACGCCCGACATGGGCACGGAAAGAATGGGTACTCCAGATATCGTAATAAAAGGGAGGGGGTCTGGACCCTGCAAGACAAGCCATTTCAGACCCCCCCCGTGGGAGAACCCTCCAAAACATCGTCCCCAGACCCCCCCAGGCCCTCCAAGATAGCTTGGAAGAGACCCCCCCCGAAATGAGACCCCCCTCCCTTTATTACGAAATCTGGAGTACAGTGCCCAGCAACAAATGTTGTCCCAAACCATCAGCGGCCGCTATTGGGCAGGCGGCCTTCTGTCTCGAATGGACACAGGCCGCGGCGGCACCGACAGCTAGTCCTGTTCAGAATGAACAGGAGCTGCTGTTGTCGGGCCGGGCGAAAGGGGGGGCATAGCAAAGGGGGGGTTTGAGAATCAGCTCACGTAATTAGCTGATTTTACCGGCGCCTCCCGGCGCCGGGAGGCGCCCATGTATCGAGGAAGGGGCCCGGCGGTGGGGCCGAAACCAGCTGCATGCAGCAGATTTCGTACCCCCCCCTTTCCCAAACCCCCCCTTTCGCCCGACCCGATGTTGGGCAGTGAACCCATGTTTTCGTACCCAATTCGGGCGTCCAGATCGTCCCACCTTGAGCGCCCGCGTGCTTCGAGGGAGCGCGATCCACCGTCCCTGGCCCGAGACCAGTTCCGCAAGGGGGGGGGTCAGAGACCGGGGGGGAACCCCCCTCCCCTCGCCTGACAACAAATCCCAAGGCGGGGGGGCGCCAAACCAAGAGACCCGCCCCCCCTCGACCTCGCCCCCCCCTCGACCTCGCCCCCCCTCGACCTCGCCCCCCCCCTCGACCTCGCCCCCCCTCTCCAACCCGTGTTTCCGATGTTCTGCGCGGACCGCTTCGTATCTGCCGATTCTGGGCTACTGGCAGCGTTCAACCTTGCACTTCCGCGCCGGGGTCGCCGCCGCGTCGACGCGGGACGAACCTGCCGTAACCCGCGCTAGTTTAGAATCACCCCCTTCCATCCCTCCTGGGCTCCGAGGAGCTCCACAGGGCGGAGCACACGACAGAAACTCTCAGTGGGCTCCTCCCCCTGGCGGACCCCACGCAATGCCATGGAAGCCCCGGTCAGAGATCCTTGGCGTTCCGTGGGGGCGCCCCGGCGGCCCCTCTGAGCACCCGCGGGGCACGTTCGGGCGTTCACAGGCGCTTCCGCCGGGGAGCTCCCCGGAAGCCCCGCGCGCCCCCTGGGACCGCTCCAAATTCCAGAAGCACTTCCAGCGCTCTCGGGCGCTCCTGGGCCCTCGCGTGCGCTCTCGAGCGCTCCGCAAGGCGCCCCCCCCCTCCGAGGACCCCAGGCGCCCCTAGGCCGTTTCAAGGCGCCGCTGCGATATTACCAGCAACTCCCCAGCTTGCTCCTCGCCCTCCCTGGCGGTGGCAGAGGTGGCTCCGCTCCGCCACCCGCCGGGAGAGGGGTTCGTGGTCACTCGGGAGCCTCCATTCTGGCCTCGGCTTCAAGCTTACGGCTACGTCTTGCTCATCTGTTGGTCGCCCTCCCTGGGAGCACCCAGGCGGCTCCCACCCGCTCGCGAGCACTTCCTGGAGAGGCCCCGGGGCTGCGCCAGAGCGCCGATTCGAGGGGCGCCCTCTCCCGCCAGCGTGGCGCCGCCAGTTGCGGAGCGAGGTCCCCAACGGATGCGGCATAGCCGACAGCGCGATGCCCCCGCCTCAGGAGCTTCGTGACTGCGCAGCCAGACGCGCTCCCCAACGAACCTACTCGCGTCACCCACGTCGTTGACGTTGCGCAGCCAAGCGCCGCCAGCCGCAGAGCAATGCCCCCGCCGATGCGACGCGGCTGCGCCACTGTCCATGACACGACGCGCTGCCGATCGGGACTTCGTTGCGCCCAGGCACGGCCCCGCGCAAGCGCGCATGCCCAATCGCGCAGAGAGGCGTGACCAATCGCGAAGCGACTCCCCCTGGCTTGCGTTCCGCGACCTCGCGCCCAACAGGGCCGCTCGTTTCACTTGAGCAGGGACCGGCCGTCCCAGCAGTCCTATAGGCGCACCACGGACTTTCCTTAGAACGAGAGTGTGTTCTAATGGCATGAGCAATGTTCTTAGAACACAACACCGATTGATTAAACAAAGACTGTCTCAGCCAGAACTGTTCTAAGAACGGATCGTGAAACTCACGAAAAGATGCTCTATGTTTGGTGGACCTCTATGGGCAATCCAGGACGCTTCGCCACTACTTGAGTCATGGGGCGGTCTACCCTAAGGGGGCCACGCGGGCGCGGATGCTGAGAGGAAGACTCCCCCACCAAGAACCTGGCTGTGGGGGTGGGCCAGGGATGCGCTCGCCCGTCCGCTCTCCCGCTCCCCATGCTTCCCCCCTTCCTCCACTTCAGCCAGCCCCTGCTCCCGAACTTCGACTCCTCGCGTCCGCCACCTGCCAGCATTGCCCCCCCTCAGCGCTCCACGTGGCCCCCTGCCTTCCTCCCCTCTCCTATCCCCCCCGCCTCCACCCCCCGCTCTCCTCGCTCCCCCATCCCGTCTCACTACCCTGCCCATCCTCTGCTCCGCTGATCCCTCGCACCCTCCCTCCGCTCTCCTCGTCTCGCCCCTCCCATCGATCCTTCCCCCCTGGCAGGCCGTGGCCACCCAGACCCTGGGACGTCGGCAGAGTGGACCCCCAGAGGTCGGGAGCGGCCAAGAGGGGGGTGCCCAAGAGGGGGGGGGAAACATCACGACCCCCGCCATGATATCCCCCACCCCCTAGTCATCACCCCCCTCTTCTCCGCCCCCGAAGAGGTCGGTCTGGGCAGAG